TGTAGGTTTGGTTAAGTTAGATTAAATTAGTAATAGATAATGACATAAAGAAGTGAATTAAATCACATCACCCTGGCTACTCCACGGCCATTAAGTGACCCTAAAAGGACTTAAGCACTCTAATCAATCCTAAAATTACATTACGATTACTTCAACTTTTAAATCGGAAAAATAGGATCGAATCTCCTCAACTAGATTTTGTTATTAAATTAAATGCCTTTATCGGAAGTTATATTCGAGTAATTAACCCGAATCTTCAGGTGAAATAGGTTAAGGGGTCGAATCTTCAGGCGAAATAAACATTTAAGGTCGAATTGGGAACGAATTTTCAGGAGAAATGAGTTAAGGGGTCGAATCTTCAGGTGAAATAAGCTAATGGGTCGAATCTTCAAGTGAAATAAGTTAAGGGGTTCGAATCTTCAGGTGAAATAAACTAAGGGTTCGAATCTTCAGGTGAGATAAACTAAGGGTTCGAATCTTCAGGTGAGTTAAGCTAATACGAATATTCAGGTGAAATAAACAATAAGGGTCGAATCTTCAGGTGATCCGATTCTATTTCCTGAAGACAGAGGAGAATTGAACTCTGCAAGCGTGAAATGGACTCCTAATACCCAAGGAGACAATAAAGGGCTATAATTCTTTTAATGGGGTTACGACTCAATGGCTGATAAGATGGTGAGGAAGGAGTGTGGCGAGAGAGGGGAGGGAGGGGTGAGGGAAGTGAGAAGGGAAACGATAGAGGGAGAGAAAGAGGGAAATAGGTGGAGAAGAGAGAGAGAGAGAGGGAAATTGGGAAGGATAGGATAGAGAGAGAGAGAGGAAGATGTAAATTAGAGAAAGAAAGAGAGAGAGAGATTTTTAATAAACAGATAAACATAATAAAGAACAAGAAATTAAAGTGACAGAATTGGATCATAAAATTTAAACTCTCCAAAAATTTTTAAGATGAAAAACATGTTTACATAAAATTAAGTTCACGTGGCATCGGAGGAAAAAACAAAAAATAAACAGTAATTGGAAGCCTAACCCGCTTGGACATCCCATCGACCAACCAGCACATCGGAATCACAAAAATAGCGTACCCAATTATGGCAGCATGAGATTCAGGTGCCCATTAGTGTAATTACCGGCGTAATACACCTTTCAAAACACGTTAAGCCTATCTAAAACGGCTAACAATTCACTTACAGAAACTACTCAATCGTGTTAGCCAATTAGAGACAGACAGACAAGTAGACAGGCATACAGACAGATATATAGACGGAAAAGACCACATTATACTCAGTGACCATCAGATGGCGTCATAAATATAATCAAAAACAGACCCCGGAAACAGCTGACTGCCTGACAATAATAGTTTGGCTTTGAAGTTTGTGGAAAATGTCTCGTCTATTAATATTATTGATCAGTGTGAGGAAAAAAAAAAGTCTTGCAGTGGAAACATTTATTTGTGAATTGTTTTATTTTTTAAAGGGATATTGTCGATGTCGTATTCAAGGGGTTAAATCATTGTACTCAAGGGGTTAAGTCATCATACTCAAGGGGTTACGGAATATTAAAAATACTAATAATCAAATCACGCACGAAAGAGAGAGAGAGAGAGAGAGAGAGAGAGAGAGAGAGAGAGAGAGAGAGAGAGAGAGAGAGAGCCAACACCCATCTCCCATGACAACAGAAGGTGTCTTGGCTAATGTTTCACCTGTGGGGAAATCCATATGAGAGAACAGGTAAGGGAAACAGGTGTGGTCTGGATATTAGGGCTAAGAATGTTTGGTTTACTGTGTGTGTGTGTGTGTGTGTGTGTGTGTACAGGATATTAGAGGAAAATAGTAGGTGTATGTGTGTATGTGTTTGTGTGTACATGTGTATTTAGAACGGGTGTGTATTCAGACTAGTTGTTATACGCTGACTTACACCCCCCCATCACTCCCACCCTCCCACACCCACACCAACAGAATAATTTGCTCATCCTCTCCCTGTCACCCAATCCTCCCTCACCCCACTTTCTCTCGTCTCCTCTCTCCCCTTTCATTTCCTTTCTCTCCTTCCTCCCTCCTTTCTCACTTTCCTCTTTCTCCCTCTCTCACCACATCCCCACCCCTTCTCTATTCCCCCTCTCATCCCTTGTTGTCCTCGATTCCTCTTCACCTCTCCCTTCATCCTTCCTCTCCCTCCTTCGCCTTCTCCTCTCAGCCAACGATGACGACCACTTGTGGCAAAAGTTGTTTAATGTATAAAATTCAGAACTTACAAATGGGTGAACATTGTGATGATGGTGAGGAGGGGAGGAGGGAGGGAGGGGGAGGAGGAGGAGGAGGGAGGAGGAGTGGGGGGAGGAGGAGGAGTGGGGAGGAGGGGAGGGAGGGGGAGGAGGGGAGGGAGGGGAGGAGGAGAGGGGAGGGAGGAGGAGGAGGGAGGAGGAGGAGGAGGAGGGAGGAGGTGGGGAGGGGAGGATGAAAGAGGAGGAGGAGGGGGGGGAGGGGGGGAGGAGGGAGGAGGAGGGGAGGGAGGAGGGGGGGAGGAGGAGGAGAGGGAGGAGGGGGGGAGGGAGGAGGAGGAGGGGAGGAGGGGAGGAGGAGGAGGGAGGAGGAGGAGGAGGAGGGGAGGTGGAGGAGGCGGAGGAGGAGGGGGGAGGAAGAGGAGGAGTGGGGGAGGAGGGAAGGTGAGTGAGGGGAGGAGGAAGGTGTGTGAGGGGAGGGGATGAAAGAGGAGGAGGAGGGGTAGTGGGGAGGAGGAGGAGGAGGAGGGGGAGTGGGGAGGAGGAGAGAGGAAGTAAGAAAGATGATAAGGAGGAGGAAGGGGAGGAAAGAAGGAGAAGGAGAAGGGAGAAGAAGGAAACAAAAAAAGATGGAAAGGAGGAGGAGAGAGAAGAAGGGGAAGGGGGGGGGACGAGAAGGAGGAGATGAAGAGAAGGAGGGGTGGGGATGGAGGGGGATAGGAGGGGATGGAAGGGGGAGGGGAGGGGGAGGTGGAGGAGGGGGTGAGGCCAGAAATACACGCCCCTCCTCCCCAAAATTGCGTCCAGGAAAAATATTTGTTGTTTTGTTCTTTACCAATAAGATGGAAATGAGAAGGTGATGGACAGGTGTGAGTTTTCTGTCTGTCTGTCTCTCTGTTTGTCTCGCTTTTTATGTGTCTGTGTCTGTCTGTCTCTTTTTCATTGTTTAACTCTCTCTCTCTCTCTCTCTCTCTCTCTCTCTCTAATCTTAAATAAATAAATAAAATCCTTAATAATAAACAATAAAAATTAATATTTTTTCATCGATAGAAAAAATAAATAAGAAAAATCTAAAAATAAAACCAATTTTTTTAACTTTTCTTCAATAAATTTCGACTTTTCTCCAATATTTTCACTTTATAATCAATTTTTTCACTTTTTTTTTCAATATTTCTCGTCGTCTCCAATATTTCCCATTTTTACTATTTTTTTTTTCATTTTTCCTCCATTGCGTACGTGAGTGTCGCTTCAGAGAGAGAGAGAGAGAAAGTGTAGAAAGCGTTCACAAAGAAGAGAGCCTCCCTGCGTTCATTCTTCGCTACAGTGAACGCCAATCTACTTTCAATGGAATCCGCTAAAAAAAAAAAAAATGAAAATCCTGTGACTTTTGTTTAGTGGAAAAAGAACTTGCCGTTTTTATTTCTCGGTTCTTTATTTTTTGCATTTTTTATATATTTTTTTTTTGCTGTTGGAGTTAATTATTTTGCTTAGGTTTATAATTTTATTTCATGGATAATACTTTTATTCTGTCGTTTTTATTTTCTATTGATAGTTAAAAATATCATGGGATTTTATTTAATTTTTTCTTATTATTACTTTGAACTAGAAAAATACGCATATCGATTTAAGGTTATTTTTACCTTAAAAAATGTAAATACCTAAAAAGAGGTGATTTTTGCCTTACAAAACATACCTAAAAAGGGATTACTTGATTACTTTAGGAGAGGAGGGATTTATCCAATATTAAATAGATACCAACAAGAGGGATTTTTTGGTCTATCTGTAGCTCAAGAGAAGGTCAGTGCACTAATCATCAAATTGCTTGGCTCGGGTCAACGTAGCTTAAAGTACGCAGCGCTATTGGAAAGTGGGTGGAAATGGGCGGGCGTGAATGGTGGGTTGGTGGATGTGGGTGTGGGAGTAGGTGAGTAGGTAGGAGTGAGATTGGGCGAGTGAAAGTGAGGTGAGTGGCTGGGAGTGGATGGATGGGAGTGAAGGTGAGAGGGTATATGGATGTAAGTGGATGGAACACACACACACACGCCTTCCCTCCCCTCTCCACCATCTCTGTGTTTACATCGAACAGCTGATTGCGTTATCAGCTGTGGGACGTCTGGCTAGCCGACATCTCCCCCCCCCCTTATCTTCTCTCTCACCCCCTGACAGTCCTTGAGAGAACTTTTTTCCGCCTTCACATTTCACACGCAGGCGGAAAGAAGGAAGATCGGACCTCCCTCTTTGGATTCATGAGGTCCTCTTAGGTTGGTCTTGGTCTTGGTCTTGGTCGTGAATGTTTTTCGCTCTGGGTTCGGTCCTTATGGGGTAATCGACTTATTTGAGTTGGTCTGAGTTGTAATTCTTGTTTATTATTGTTGTTTATTGTTATTATTGTTATTGTTATTATTGTTATTATTGTTATTGTTATTACTGTTTTGGGGGCAATTAGGGGAATAGGTCCAGAAAGAAGCATTTTAAGGGCAATGAAAACACTCTCATGGGCAATAAACAGGCAATTACACTCACCTGTCAAGGGCAATAACCGTCAAGTGATAATTTAAAAGTCATTAAGCAAGCCAGTTCGCATACAAAGGGCAATAGTGACTAGATGACCCATTCATAGGGCAATAAGGACATCACAAGAGTAATAATAACCCAATTAGACTCTGCTGTCGTTGGCAATGGATACCAGGTGACAATTTAAAAGGCAATAACAAACACGTAGACTCATTCTGACAGGCAATGAAAAGTTCCCAAGGGCAATAACCAATTCACTGAGACTCACCTGTCGAGGGCAATAGCTACCAGGTGAAGTATAGAAGCAGTGCAGCATAGGACATCACTTGAAGTCCACATATCACACAACTCTGGTCCTAAGATCCACTCCTTGCTGATCTGTCGGGGCAAGAAGGAGCAATGGTGAGATTACTAGTGGGGGGAGGGGGGCAGAAAGAGGATTACTTGCCCTTATGATTAACTAGATTGCTTGGATTAATCTCTCTTGTTGAAGGTAATGAAGTGAGGATGGGGAGGAGGAGGAGGAGGAGGAGGAGGAGGAGGAGGAGGAGGAGGAAAGAAGAAGAGGGGGGGAGAGGTTGGTGAAAAGGAGAGAGGTATTTGGGAGGGAGAGATGGGAGGATAGTTAGAGAGGAGGGGGAAGAGAGGCTGGGAGGAGGAGGGAGGGGGTGGATAGGGTGGAGAGAGTAGGGAGGAATAAAGGCCAGGAGGAAACAAAAGGAGAGAGAGAATTCGAATTAAAAATCTCATATATTTAATACATATGCAAATCCATAGTGATTGTTCTCTCTCTCTCTCTCACAGGAGAATTGTTTACTTACACAATCCTGGGCATTTAAATCTTCCATTACTTACAACTACACAATATATCACCAAGACACTTGTAATGAAAGGAAAATGTCTGGCTCCATTCATAGTCATTCATTCAAGAGTGTTTAATATCACCTCGGGAGGGGGAGGGGGGTAGGAGGAGTTAAACATGACCTTCTGTTTTGGGTGAGATTTGTGAGATTTCATGGAGGCATAAGGTTGAGGTGGTGTTCTATGTGTTATGGGAGTTTCTGACTATGTTGGTTTGGTGTGTGTGTGTGTGTGTGTGTGTGTGTGTGTGTGTGTGTGTGTGTGTCCGCTCGAAAAGTCCTTCTCCAGTCGTCATAGTCCAAAGCAAGTCCGACGTGGGACGTATCGTTTGCCTATAATATCAATATTTACTTTATTCCCGTGATGGGGGGGAAGGAGAGAGAGAGAGAGAAAGAGGGAAGGAGGGAGGGGAAAGAAGGGGGAAGGGGGAAATGGAGGGGTGTAGGAGGGAAGAAGAGAGGGAAGGAAGGGAGAGAGAGAGAAAGAGGAAGGGAGGGAAGGAGGGACTTTTGAATTTTCCGAGGCACAAGACTGAATTTCCTAGATATAAATGCTATTGGATATTAAGCTCTTGACATTTGCTTGATCTGGCGAAGGGTCGTCAGGCGTAAAGGAGGAAAAACGTGGGAGTGTGAAGAAATCCTTCGCTTGGTTATAGTAAGGTTCAGAAATTGGCGACTTGGACGAGAATTTCATGTATTTATATGTGCTTATATGTATCAAGAATCACCTGAAGTTTAGACACCCGGCTTATTTCACCTGAAGTTTAGACACCCCGGTTAAATTCACCTGAAGTTTAGACACCCAGGCTTATTTCACATGAAGTTTAGACACCCTAACGCTAACATAACTATCCCAAACTTATAGTAATCTAACTTAACATTAAATTAATTTAACCTAATATAACACTACTTGGGATGTTTTAAGTTTGGTTGACGAGGTGGAGTGCTGTAGTCACGTGAGAGAGAGAGAGAGAGAGAGAGAGAGAGAGAGAGAGAGAGAGACTATTATTATTATTAGTAGTAGTAGTCGTAGTTTTGTTGTCGTTATTATTATTTTTATTATTATTATTATTATTATTATTATTATTATTATTATTATTATTATTATTATTATTATTCGGTTCTAAATATTATAGTCTTAACATTTGTACATAGTCACAAAATAAACAAAACACTAAACAAAAAACAAATAAAATATACACACAAGGTAAATATATTCCTGAGCCATAAATCACTCAAGGTTGAAATATTTGCTTTGTATTCTTAACAATAGAGTTTTCTGTTATTGTTAGTTGTGGCTGAAGACGGAAGAGTTAATTCAGGCCAAAACCGATAGATATTTTACCAAGGGAGTGTAGAACATGATAGATCTGAGGCCACCTTATATAACGCGGATTACCTGTAGATTAGACACCCGAAAATATTTTATTATTTTACCTGATGATTTAAAACACCTTATCACTACCTGTTGGGGGGTTTAAGTTAGGTTAGGTTAGGTTAGGTTAGGTTAAGTTAGGTTAGGTTAGGTTAACATTATGGACTTTAATCATCAGGTGAAATAAAATATATTCATGGTTTTTATAAGATCCAATAAACATCCTGAATAAAAAAAGAAATTCTATATTATAAAAAAAATTAAATTAAAGCAGTCTACCACATATTTACTTCACAGAAAACGTAGGCTCCATTTATCCTTATAGAAGAAAATGGGGGAAAGGACTCGTAGGGAAAGAAAATGATATATGATTTATTATACCAAAAGAAAGTGGGGTACAATTTACCATACACAAAAAGAAACTTGATGTATAAGGCCATAGGTATTGGGCCGCTATTAACTGATCGTCGACAACACACAAAGATGATTTCTCAAAGGTTCTTAGGTTAAAATCTTCGTCTGTTACCTAACTGGTGATGTAAGAACGTTTCTGATCGGATTAATTTGGCTACGACACATAATTGGATTCTCAAATAATCTTATGACGTGATGTAAGAACGTTTCTCATTGGCTGAGTTTGGCTACGACACATAATTTGATTCTCAGATAATATAACTACAAATTTCCATCTATTACATAAGTCTGTGATGTAAAAACTCTTCTGAATGGCTGAGTTTAGCTACGACACATAATTGAATTCTTAGAAAATATAACGACAATTTTCCATCTATTACGTAAGTCTGTGATGTAAGAACGCTTCAAATTCGCTGACAGACTCCGAAACGAAGATGGATTCTCAATGGACTTTCCTGAAACCAAAACAGATCTCCAGAAAGTTCAATTTGCTTTATTTAACAAAACATCTTGGCTAGTTGGTACTTGTTCTGGCTCTAATTAGGAGATCTCGGTCATTTCCAGCTTTTCTAGTAAGATTTGTAAGCTAACCCTCTAACTATTAAAAAAAAATCGACTAATAAGCTTGATAAATTTTCTTCTGACGATTACAAAAGAAAATCGAAAACAAATCGACTTATATAACCTTAATCAATTTTCCTCCGAAGACAAAAAATTCCACTTTACCCTCACTAAGATTAGTAAACAACCCTCAAACAATAAGAAAGAAAAATAGCCCAAAAATAGCAAAGGAAATCGATTTATATCCTATTTAACATCACCATCCGGCTAGTTGGACCATTCACTAGGCCTTTTGAAACGCATCACCCAATCATTTCCTCTCATCTAATAAGCTTCAATAGGACCGTCTCTTATATGCAATTCGGAGGTCGTATATTGACAGACAGGTCTCCATTGTCTCAGGGGGCTTCAAGATCCCTGGATAAATATAGGTTTAGGATTTCATTTCACATTTAATTAGGATTATTTATTGAGGAGTCCAGGAGGTGAGAAGATGAATTGTGTGTGTGTGTGTGTGTGTGTGTGCATGTGCGTGTGTGTGTGTGTGTGTGTGTGTGTGTGTGTCAGTAGAAAATAAAGAAGCGACATCAATCGGAAATAGGAAGGAACGTCGACAGAAAATGGGAAATGGGGCCCCATGTGATAAGGAGGAAGGCAGGAAGTCACTCTTATCTGATAGAAAGGAGGGAGGGAGGGAAGGAAGGAGGGAGGGAAGGAAGGAGGGAGGGAGGGAAGGAAGGAAGGAGGGAGAGGAGGTGAGGGAGAGGTAGGCTAATATTTATTTATATTTTGTTCACTTTCTTTTGGGTGAAGGAAGTGATATTGTTGAATGATGAAGACAGAGAGAGAGAGAGAGAGAGAGAGAGAGAGAGAGAGAGAGAGAGAGAGAGAGAGAGAGAGAGATTTATCTGACACACACAGACACACACATCAGATAGACACAAAGACAGACAGACAAACAGGCAGACAGTCAGCTCGGTGATAGACTCTTCAGATCTATAAATTTGTGGTTCCAAAAATTATTGAGGGGAAATTGGAAGCCATTGAGACTGGCCTGGCAGAGTGAGGAGTTCTTTAAGTCCACGCTGAGGGGAAGTGAGGGGATGAGAGGGGTTGAGGGGAGGGGGGAGGAGAGAGGGAAGTGGGGTAGAGGGGTTCTTTAAGTCCACGTTGAGGGGACGTAAGGGGAATATTGGCTGAGAGAGAGAGAGAAAGAGAGAGAGAGAGAGAGAGAGAGAGAGAGAGAGAGAGACTTAATCATTACTCACCCCCCAAAAACACTTATAATTAATCTATGTATAGTTACTCCCTCTCTCCTCATTCCGTTTTCTTTTACCTCTTCTCTTCCTAATTTCGTTTCTCCCTTTTCTTCTCTTTTCTTTCTCTATTCCTCTTTCTCATTCACCTGTTTTACTGTTTTCCTTTCTCAGCTTTCTCATTTCCTTTACCTTCTCTTCCCTCTCCCCTTACCTCCTCTCCACTATCTCCCCATCCTCTCACCTCTCCCCTTACCTCCTCTCACCCCTCTCATTACCTCTCTCCCCTCTCACCACTCCTCTTACCTCCACTCCTCCATTTTCTGTCCCGTTATAGAAACAGGGAAATTTTTGAGGCTTTAAGTCAATGGCTGAGTTAATGAGGGAAAATATTCGCTAGGGGTATTTTTAATTTAGTGTTTGTTTGTATCTTTCTCGTGTGCTTGTGTAGCGAAGATTGTTTATTTAAAGGCGCAGTTCAGTGCTTGTTATCGTTGCTGACTGACTGACTTGACTGACTGACTGATTGATTGGTTGACTGACTGACTGACTGATTGACTGATTGACTGACTGATTGGTTGAATGACTGACAGACTGATTCACTGACTGACTGACTGACTGACTTACTGACTGACTGACTGTGTAACTTTTTATTGCTCTGTCTCTCAATCTATACTCAATCTTCCTCTGTTTTGTAGGTAGAGAGACGATAAAGGAGAAAGACTGAGAGATAAAGACAGAAACAGGAGAGAGAGAGAGAGAGAGAGAGAGAGAGAGAGAGAGAGACCCCCCCCACCCAAAACCCGGGAAGCTAGAATCAAACACACGACCGTCGCCCGAGAAGAAAGAAAATACTATATAAAAAAATAAATCCCTGCGCATCATATCTCAGTCTTGATCGATGCTGTA